CCAAATGGCCCGGATCAAAAGTTTACATATCCTGGAATGTTTGGCCTTGGTACAGACACACAAGGTGACACACATGGGTTAAAATGGATGTTAAAAGAGAAGTAGGGATTTTTTTTTTACTTATTTATACTTACCTGGGTGGATGCAGCATTGGTCCATCGGCTCTAAGAGTGAGAACTCAGCGATCACATGACTCACTGAGTTCTCTCCGCTCTGAGCAGAGAGCGGTGACTGGTGTCTGCTCTGCCCCCCCAGGGCTCACTGGAGTGCTGGGCTGTGGGGGGGGGGGGGGGGGGGGGAGCGGCTGCCTCAGGCTCTCAGCATTTCACTCCAAACTCTGGAGTGGATCCCAACTTTAAAGTCAGGATTTTTCCCCAGTTTGGACCAGCAGTGACGGCAGCCAACAGCGGGCTTCAGTCCGCTGTCAGCTGAAAACAGGTCACAAGAGTGCAGAACGAACTGCACTCCCACGATCCACAGAGCTTTGGCTGTACTTATTTAAGGTAATTTTCCACATCTGTGGCTTTTTAAGTTAAAATTAGTGTCTGTTTATAAATAGTCAATGAGTTTGTTAGCTCTCATTTGGATGCACTGAGCAGGCTAGATGTTGAGGCACGGGGAGCAGAAAAGAACTGCCAAAAGAGCAGCATAAGAAGGTAATGGAACTTTATAAAGATGGAAAAGGATATAAAAAGTTATTGAAAGCCTTGAATATGCCAGTCAGTACCATTCAATCATTTATTAAGAAGTGGCAATCTCTTGATTCCAAACTAAGGTCAGGTAGAACAAGAAAGATTGTAGCCACAACTGCCAGAAAAAATAGTTTAAGATACAAAGAAAAACCCACGGGTAACCTCAGGAGAAATACAGACTGGTCTGGAAAAAGACAGTGTGGTTGTTTTAAGGAGCACAATACACAATACTTGAACAACAATGAGCTGCATGGTCGAGTAGCCAGAAAGAAGCCTTTACTGCACCAATGCCACAAAGAAGCCAAGTGAGGCATGTCAAGCTATTGTCAGGCATATTGTAACTGGGCTTTTTTGAGGCAATGAAGCAGTAAAGGCTTCTTTCTAGCAACTCGGCCATGCAGCTCACTTTTGCTAAAGTGTTGTTGTATTGTGTGCCTTGAAACAACCACACTGTCTTTATTCAGAGCAGCCTGTATTTTTCCTGAGGTTACCTGTGGGTTTTTAATTGTATCCTGAACAATTTCTCTGGCAGTTGTAGCTGCAATCTTTCTTAGTCTACCTGACCTTGGAATCAAGAGAACCACGATTTTTCCACTTCTTAATAAGTGATTGAACAGTACTGACTGGCATATTTAAGGCTTTGGATATCTTTTTACATCCTTTTCCATCTTTATAAAGTTCCATTACCTTATTACGCAGGTCTTTTGACAGTTCTTTTCTTCTCAGTATCTAGCCTGCTCAGTGCATCCACATGAGAGCTAACAAACGCATTGACTATTTATACACAGACACTAATTGCAATTTAAAAATCCACAGATACGAGAAATGAACCATTAATAGCCATTTTAACCTTGTGTGTCTGTACCAAGGCCAAACATTCCAGGCAATGGAAACTAGATCACGGCCATATGGGGGATTTCTGGTATCATTATGATTTAAAAAGGAGCCAAACAAGTATGAGATAATGAATGGCTTTATATGATCACTATCTTTAAGTAAAAGACAGTTTTTTGGCATGATCAGATGTATTTACAATATCAGTGCCAAAATTTCCCTATTTCTGGCAGGGTATGCAAACTTTTGAGCACAACTGTGTGTATCCATGTATTTAGCTATTTGCTTTGAGCTTTCTATTAGGCTTCATGCACACAAGGACAGTTTTTCTTTCATACCCGGGGATGCCTTTGCTCCAGAGGAGAAAAATGCAGCATTGAAAAAAGCATCCAAAGTTGCATTTTGCAAACACGTTTAGGCACATTTAGGCTCATTAAGTGCTTGAACATTCATTCATTCGATTGGCCAGAATATAAAATAATTCTGGCCAATGGAATGAATAAATGCATAAGAGCTGAATGTGCGTAGTGCTTAGGCATGTTTACACGCAGTTAGGTGCATCGGGTGGATTTTATGCCCAAACATTCCTCTTCTGAGCAAAATTTTGGTTCATTCAGCTTTCTTCCGCTGAACACTCTTGCCTCTAAATGCCTGTAAACGCCTATGTGTGCATGCATGTGTGTACAATCAGAAGGGCATTTAGAGGCAGAAAAAAAGTAAACCGCATGTAAAACAAACATTTCCAAGCTGCAGTATGCATGATGCCTTAATATGTGTTGATATGATATTTCCATGATATGATCATGATATTTTTTTCAACCACTTTCTTATATTTTTCCTATCAATAACATTGGCAACAAGCCCCATTTGACTGGACAAGCTCATGTAACTAGTTCTCATGAGCAAAATGTTGCAATTTTTTCATTGTAAAGGCCTACTATTACAAAATGTATTGTATTCTGATAGCTGTATAGAGTTAATACCTGTAATGATAGTGATCAGTATGTGATTTCCTTTTTCTTTCACATGCCTTTATTTATATTTTTCTTCACATTTATTTGCAGATCAAGCTGCCTTAAAGGGCTGAGAAAAACTGTAGGAGGTAATGTGCACAAGCACAAAATACAATGTGTTCAGAACCATAATGTGTAAATTTTTATTGATCTGAATGCAGCTGTATGGGTCGTATTTAACATTGTATGTATGTATATGTATGTTAAAGCGGAGTTCCACTCACGCTGTCAAAAAATAAAAGTTAGCAGCTACAAAAACTGTAGCTACTGACTTTTAAAAAAAACAGCCACTTACCTGTCCCTCGGTCCCATTGTGTGTCCCCTGCAGCCCATTTCACCAGTCATCCTGTATTCCAGGAGGCCGGCATCTTCAGTGTGGGCACCTGGCTGTGATAGCGCTGCGCTTCATGAATGGTCCTGTAGTCTTCTGAGACCTGTTACGTGTCCCAAAAGACTACAGGGAGGGAGGGAGGACACTTTCCGCTTCTGATCGCCTAGGCGATCGGAATGGAAGTGGGAGCGGGTACCTGTCAAATTCGGGTACCCGCTCCCCCCTCGCCCCCCAAAGGTGCCAACCCTTAATGGGGAGCAGTCCTTAAAGCGGAACTTCCCCTTTTGGGTGGAGCCCCGCTTTAAGGACTATGCTAACATTTATCTGCTTACAGAGTTTAGTGTAAATATACAATGGTGACCCTAAATAGCCACCTGAGTCTTAGCAACCTAGGTTACTAGGCAGTGGGGGGATGTTTGCATCCTAGTAAATAGGGTACATTTACATTGCACATTGTATGTATATAATGTTAGCACAAATGTTACATACATGTACAGTGTACAGATACGATGTAACATAGGATCTTTCTGGCACCAAAATCATATGCCTGTGTGCATGAACCCTAACACTACATATAACATCGGCCACCATTTTATTCATATGGTCTAAACATTCTTCCATTAGAAAAGGAACTATATAAAAAGCATTAGCTGGAGCCAGGGGCGAACTGACCATTTGGAAACTCGGGCACTGCCCGAGGGCCCGGGGTCAGTAGGGGGCCCCATGAGATGCCCCTGGTACCTTTTTCATAGGCTTTTTTTAGTTTGGGCAAGGACACAGGGGCCCCATGATCCCCTATTTCCCGGGGGGCCCCATGAGTTGTCACTCCACCCCTGGCTGGAGCTAAGCTTTAAAGTTTAAAGCTTAAGTTTATTAAAAAAAAAAAAAATCAGCACAAGGTACATTACTTAGTATTTATCGGATTTCCCTTCTCACACCCGTCACCGCAATCAGTGCTCTTATCAGGAGTATCAAACCATGACCACCCTTTCCATCCAGCTCCTCAAATCATAGAACTGTACTATAGCTTCTATGAATGAAATATGATCAATGGATGGAGGGGGTGGACCTTTAAATCACTGTTCAACCCTTGTTCATAGATCATCTTTCATTTCATTCATTCATTCATTCATAGAGGCTATAGTACAGCTTCTATGAATGGAAGAAAGGGTAGTCATAGTTGAGAACCTTTGATGAGAAATGTAGAAGACAAAGGTAGCTGAAAAAGTAAGAGCTGTTTTTTTTTTTTGTTTTTTTTTAGCAGACTCTTAGCTCTATTCTTTTAAATGACTGACAGGGTCACTTTAATTTATAAAAACCACCAACACAGCAACTTACCAGTATAGTAATAGCAGTAAACAGGTAAGTATTAATACATCAAATTACTTACTGTATGGTGCATAATTAGAAATAGAAAAATTGAAAAAGCACAAAGCTTGCCAGACCGTCCCTCCTATTAATAGTATAAAGTAAATGATGCAGAAGGTGTGTGATGTGATGGAGCTATTAGGCTGCTGCATGTGCTAGCAAGGCTTTACATTTCCTGCTGAGAATTGTGAACTGACACACCAAAAAATACATTAGAGGCAAGAAAAGAATAATCATTTAATGTGTAATGGATCTAAATTCAAGTTTCCTCTAATACGAGGTAAAACCATTTGAAAATGATAGTTTCCTCAACGTCACGGACCAGGAAAAAATATGCAGATGAGAAAAGTTAACATCCAGCCAGGTTATAGACAATCATGTTTTGGCATACTATTCATAGGCAATACATGAGCTTTAAATCAAGTCTTCACTGACCTCTGTAGCTGCAGGCACTGGGGAGCAATTCATCCTCAGATATCACAGCAGAAGCAATTAAGTTGTCCCAGTTGTTTGCTCAGTGGCCCAGCTTCTCTGCCCCCCCAGCCCAACCCACCACATCCCACCAGCAGTTACTCAGCAGCCTTTCTTCCTTCTAATCTTTAATAAAAACATAGAGCAGGAGCTTTGAATTGGGAGAGGGCAGGGTGAGCTGTGCTGGCTGAGAGAACGCCTCGAAGAATTCAAGTAGAACTATAGAAGTAAAGACAATCTTTTTTTCTAATTTTGGATAGAGTAAGGGAGGGTCATAACCACTGTCAGTGTATTTTTCATCATCTGTGAATATTTCACTTCACTTCCTGTCTGATATCGAAATCAAGAAGTGAGGGGACATCCCTCCAAAGTGAGAGAATCTGTGGTTGTCACCAAAACTAGTGTCCCCATTGAAAGATTTCCCCTCTCTTCCTGTTCTGGTGAGAGCCCCAAAGTTGGGATTTTCTTCCACTTTCATTCTCACTAATAATGGTAAACAGAACAAATAGAGACAGTAAATCTCCCTAATGGTGGCACAGACAGCAATAAAAATCTGACGAGTGTTCTAATCCATCTCCACTCTATGAAAAACTAAAAAAATGCATTTGGTTATACTGTACTTTCTGTGTTTTTGCTGTGAGTGATGAGCATTAATTATTTCACAGTGCCTGCAGTTACAGAGGTCAGTTGAGGATGTGTTTTAAAGCTCATTTACTGATAGTTAAGAATTTGTACATACATGGCTACAGGTTCTCTTTAAAACTCTGGAATATGTTTTGCATTTACTTAACCTCCCTGGCAGTATTCCCGAGTGTAGCTCGGGGTAAAGTTTCAGTACCAAAAGCGGTAACCCCGAGCTACACTCGGGCTTACCATGCAGCGTTGCATAGGGATTCCCTGCAGCGCTTACCTTGTCCTTCGCTCCCGCGATGCGTCCCCTGCAGCGTCCCCGGCCATCACCTCCGGCCAATGCCGGCATCCGGCTTCCGTGTTCCGGTCCCTGTGACGTCAGGACGTACGGGCGCCGGAACCGGCGGCAAATTTGAAAATTTAAAAAAAAAAATGACTTTTTTTTTTAAAACAATTATTTCATAGCAAAACATTACTGTATAAAAGCATTTCACATACATTTTGTCCCTACTGCTTTGTCCTGTGCCCTGCCTGCATTTTTACTGTTCTTTCTGCCTGGAAACTTAGAAAAGTCCACGGCGTCCAAAAAGCGTCCCTTTAGGTCAAAATCGGTTTTAGACCGGCTAGAGAACAGCGATAGTAAATCAGAACTCCTTGCAGAATTGAGTGATAATGATTCATGGGGAAATTCGTCATCAGACACTGAAAACGATTTTGCGACTTTGCTCAGTGATGTGCAAACTTGGCGCTATATTTCAAATTTCAGTGTTTTTGGTTTGATTATATTATTGAATTAAATTTATTATTATATTATTATTTTTTATGAGTATTTATTAAATTATAATTTATGATTTTTCGTGTTTCAAGTTTTATCATATCCGGAATCTTTAATAGACTCTTGTTCGGACAGATTTCAGGGAGTAATTCCTAAATTACAGGCCTACAATAAAAAAAATACATATTTCCATGCAAAAAACGGTACCGCTTTTGGTACAAAATTTCTGACATAATCATACCGCCAGGGAGGTTAATGAATCACTGACAAATTATCAAAACATTGAAGATGTCAGTCAGTGGCTGTAAGGAAGGCTCAGTTTGTCCTATATAAGATGACCAGTGAAAACGTGCACATGCTCAGATCTTAGTGTACAGCCCTGAACCGAGTGTAGCTTCCAGGCACAGTGTAGTCCTGCAGGTCCAGTACTGGCATTGGAGCTAAAAAGCCTCTATGAACCATGACTCTGCATGGAAAGACTGCTGAGTGCTCTTCAACTAGTGCTGTATGGCCTCCCATTGCTGCTGCCAGGCCCGTAATCTGCCATGGGCCCCCGTACCGACTCCTCATGCTGCTGCCAGGTCCAGAGTGTGTCATGGGTCCCTGTACGGCCTCCCATTGCTGCTGTCTCCATCGCCACACTCTGCCATGTGCCACTTTCAGGTCTCCTCACATTGCTGCTGCTGGTGGGTTCCATTTTTGTCCTAGGGTGCTGTATGGCCTCCCATTGCTGCTGCCAGGCCCGTAATCTGCCATAGGGGCCCCCGTACCGACTGGGCCCCCCTACCATCCTCATGCTGCTGCCAGGCCCGTAATCTGTCATGGGCCCCTGTACCGCCTCCTCATGCTGCTGCCAGGTCCAGAGTGTGTCATGGGTCCCTGTACGGCCTCCCATTGCTGCTGTCTCCATCGCCACACTCTGCCATGTGCCACTTTCAGGTCTCCTCACACTGCTGGTGGGTTCCATTTTGTCCCTGTAGGGTGCTGTATGGCCTCCCATTGCTGCTGTCTCCTCGCCACACCGCCACACTGTGGCTCCACACTCTGGTTTTGGCCCATGACTGCCCAAATGAGTGAAGTGTGCGGTGATTCTAAGATCGACGGCACTCATCTGCATGTCATACTGACTGACAGTATTATTTCTCTTCCCCAGCAGACTCCAAGGGCATTTAAATTAAAGGTACAGTGTTCTGCACTAATATAAAGGCTCTCTGAAGCCTAGAAAACACCCTTTTTACACATTAAATTCGCAGCGAATATATTTGCCTCGAATCGAATTATTCCGCGAATTCGGCGAATCAGCCGAATCGAATTTTTGAATAATTCGCTCATCTCTAGTTGTGACCTCAGCCTGCTGTTGAATTTTGCCTATTACCTACTTTCTGCCACCAGCCAGGAACTGGTTAGATTTCAATGAGTGTGTGGGCTCCCCTGCTTGCAAGAAGTCAATTGTTTTACCCTTTTCGCCAGAGCCGTTTTTGCATTTTTTGTACACATTTAAAAATTATTTTAGGCCTGAAAGATTGCATAAAACCTCAACACATTATATATTTTCTGGAAGCAGACACTCTACAGAATAAAATTGTGGTATTTCCAATTTTTTATGTCCCATGATATTACCACAAAGGTCTACGAAACGCAATATGTCATAAAAAAAACAGCAAAATTAATTTTAAGGCAAACAAACGCAATAAATTACCCAAATTTTGGTAAAAGATAAAAGGTGATGTTTCCCAACATGTCAAACCTTAAACTTGTAGTTGCCCATGAAATAGCAACAAACATCTATATTTTCTATAAGAGACGTTTACAGGTCATTAGTTTAACTTTGCAGAGGAGGTCCTGTGCTAGAATTATTGCGCTCACTCCGGCATGCACGGCGATATGTAACATGTATATCGCAGTCAACATTTTCACGTGTAGGCACCCTGACGAGTGTGTTTACACTTGTTCGTGTATATATGTGGGGGTATATATTTTTTTGGGTGGGGATGTTATGAGCTTGGGTGTAACTTTTATTTTTTTGGAATAAAAAACTTTTTTTTTTTTTTAACTTTTTTTTTTTTCGCAATACATTCCTCCCTGACTGTTCTAGTTAGGGAAAGTGACGGGGGTGACCCAGAAGTGACATCATACATGTCGATTTCTGGTTCACAGCAAGAAGAGGAGGAGAGCGGACATGTGTCTGCTCTCCTCCTTCCCCTCCACCATGTTGGGCGTCAAATGGGCAAGTGGAGCCCGGTGTACATGGCGGGGGCACGTGCTCTGGCAGACACCACTACTGGGAGTGTGCGAAAGCAATCAGGCTGCAGCTCAGCCACTAGACTGCTTCCACCTGACAGGCAGGATTCTGCCTGTCAGTTTTATACACAATCCTGGTACAATGTACAAAGTACGGACCTGGCAGAGAATGGGTTAATCGACTTATCAAGGTCTGGAGTCAGGATCTGGGGCCAGTAGCTATAGCAGAAGAGATGCTCCCACTGACTAGAAGGACAGATATACAAGCAAGTCACCCTGAGGATGATGTGGGCTCCTCCGAGGTGCAGGGTCCAAGTGCTAATCAATATTCACCAGTGCTCCTGATGGTGGAGATGGGTTTTGCTGCGTGTTAGTTCCAGGCCACAGTCCCCAGGATCACCCCATCATAAGATGAGAACGCTGGGGTCCAATAGCAGATATAGCAGGTAGTCGAATAACAAGAAAAAGGTTGGTAACATGTGGTTGCAGGTTGGGATCAAGCAAAAGCATAATCGAGGAATAAGCCAAAGGTTGGTAACATGTGGTAGAGAAAATACAAACAGCAGCAGAAGTGAAAATTGGCTGGAGAAGGCATAATAATCTGGCAAACAGAAATTCCAAAAGCATGGCTTAAATAGGAAGTTCATGGGGAGAGCAAAGAGTTTAAGGTTCATGACAAATAAGGTAGAAGGTGAGATTGTCTAAATGATCAGACACAGAGCATCTGGTGGCTCAGTAAGAGGAGTTACTTCTAGAAACAGCGGAGGTCCGGGGTTTAGATCCAGGTCCTGACACGATGACCGTGGAAGCGATCTATGGAAAAATTTATAGTGATCAGCTGCTGCTCAGTATATTCTGAGAGGTAAATAATGTTGTCAGAACACAATGTCTTAGCTGGAGGGATTCCTCCAGCCACCTTGTTTTGTGGATGGGGGAAATCTGTTGGTTTCTTTTATTCAGCCCTCTGGCTAAAAATAAACAAAAAACGAAACGCATATGGCCAGCTTATCCCATACTTAAAAATGGCAGAATTTAGGCTTTAAAATTGAACTCACACCTGTGCTTTGGGGAACTCTAGGCTGGAGGCTGGAGAGAGACACGTGGACTGAGCTGAGCTGTGCAAGGAGCCAGAGAGGGACAGATTGAGTTATTACCCTGTACTGTTGGCTGTGTTACAGAGGTGCTGCTGAGATTAACCAAACTGCAGGCAGAAGAGTTACAGAGCATTGCACCAAGGGGTTCAGAGGGAGAGAGGAGACTGCTCACTCACAAGTTCACTTAATTATTTTTTCTGTTCAGTCTGTGGAATTGATTAATTTCCCACTCAAGCTAGTGTATTTAGACAGCTATCGTAATACCCGCTCAGAGGCTGCTGTTTGACTAACAATTTTACACCTGGCTCCTTCAATTCTTCATTCAAAGGGTGTTGGGTGGGGATGTCATAGACCAGGAAAATTTGGTTGGTTACAGGCTGGTTGGTAAGTCAAGTTGGGAATTTTTCTTTGTTGTTGTTTGACATGTGTTACCTTTCCATGCTCCTTGCCACAAAGGCCAGTTATAAATTGGGTCAGTTGCCATTTTTTTGTACTGTTGGTATAGTGGTGAGGGGTGCACTGGACACCTTGGCTGCCATTGTGCTATATGCTGGGTGTCCAGTGTGCTCCTGTGCCTTTAGAGAGAGGTAGGTTCCCTCCAGACTTACCTGCCCTCAGTCTATCCATTATTATGCATGTGCTTCTACTATAGAAGGACTGCAAAAAATACTGGGGTGCCATGAAGAGGCTCTGCAGCTTACACATGTATTTGCAAATGTGTGCAAATTAAACCCCTGTT